ACTCTTCGCTTCTGGCACGCTTTCCCAAAGATGAAGGCCACTGACAAGCGTAACGGCATTGTGGACTTTCTCGGGCGTGATGAGGTCATCCGCTAGATGGAACCTGCCGACTTCAACGTTAGGTTGTTCGTGTGGGCCTGCTATATTTTCACCACTTGGATCTCTCCCATTTCATCGCTTTGTTTTCTGTTTTCTGTTCATTGTTTGACCTTGACATGTCTTCCTTTCTAAAGCATATTCGCAATGTACTGCCCTATTGGGCCTAAATGATCCTGTCATGTTGCTAGAAATAAACCTGGCAAAAATTGCTGTAGTCTCCTGTATGGCGCAGTGGTAGCGCGTCCCACTTGTATGCGTATATGGGGAGGTCCGTTGTTCAACCCAGCGTGCAGGAATTCTTTTTCTAGTTCATCCTCGAGAAGTCTCTTACATCATAAATGCAAGGCTGTGGACCCTGAATAGGAGGTGTCTTGGTGGAGTAGTTAACCCGAGAGATTAGAACATATTGGACCGGGTATCTCTTCTGGTTTCCGGGCACAAGTTCGAATCTTGTAGATGTGGGTGTTTTATATTAGATTTTTATTATTCTTGATTTCTAGGATAATTTATTTTGCCAAATGCAGTCTTCATGGTGTGGTTACCGAGCAAAAGGCAAGGAGAGCAAGCCTGAGCAAGGGTGGTTAGTAGTGTATGGAGGCAGAAGGAAAATATTGTGCTGTCAGGATCAGGCACTGGGGAACCATGGGGCAGCTTGCTAGGCAACTTGGAAGGAAGCAAAGACAACAATGAGCACCAAGAGCTTGATGAAGAGGACAATGATAAGATTGAGGGAGATGATAAGGAGCACTAGGAGTGTCACAAAGAGGGTTGAAGAACCGCTGGATGACAATTACAAGATAAGAGGTAGTGCTAGGAGCTTGAGGATGTTACAACTTTGTCCTGTCTCCAGTAGTCGTGAGGCCTGCCCAACTGGATTGCCCAATTTGGATAATGTGAAAATGTGATTTTAAACATCTCTCCAGCTTGCCAATCTTTGCTCAGCATGGCTCTGAACAACCAGTTCCTGAGCCTCTTTATTTACGCCGACCACGTACATGAGGAGTGGTCAAGCTCAGTGTGTTCAATCGGTCAGTTGGCCAGCCAACAATAGGTTCAGTGAAGCGGAGGGCAGGAAACATGCAAAACAATGCCAAGGAGGAGTGATAGGCAGTGACAAGAGGATGAACCTATGACGGCTTTAGCAATTTCAATATGGACCATATTAGCTGGTGTACGAGTGGGAGGCAGACTTGAAGAATACTGTAAAAGTATACCAATTGACCCCTAAAATTCCGGTAATCTCATTGAATACTGTGAATAGACCTGTAATATCAGAGCAGTCAAATGTATAGCAGAAAAAGTCAATGTATAATATCAATGCAAAGCAGAGCCAATTCAATTAAATGGTGCACAGTGCCGATAGGTTTGATGTTGCTTCTGACAACAGGAAGCAATCGGTAGACAGTTGGTGTTTGGGAGTATAGGAAGGGTGATGATTTAAGACAAAAGTGGTTAAGTGGTAGTTGATATTGAAGTCATATATAGGGCATACACTCATCCCAGAGGCTGAGTGTTAAGGGAAAGGTATACAGTCTACCTTAAGTGCCCAGTCAAGCACTTGAACAATAGACATTCCCACAGTTGGGAGGTTATTGCATTACTCCTCTCTGAAAGGAGATAATTCATGCTATCATTATAGACTTAGGTCTAACTTATGACATCATGAATGAAGCTAATCATTCATAGAATATTCCAGAAGGTATCAGTCATCATTTAAGTCATTTAGAAGCATGGCTCCATCAGAGGGGTTAGCTGAGCACCACTTGCTCCACAAACCACCTCCTTTGAAGCCATGATCATATCATGACATCATTTGTAGATATTCATGTATAAATAGGAGGGGACTAGGAGGCTCCCCATCACAATCATCTCATATATAAGTTCTTCAAATCCTCAAAGCCAGCTCTTAGTTCTAGCCTGTAGTCATTAGTCCTATCCCAGTCCTCAAGCAGTGAGTACCCCTAGGCAATGCCTTAGTAAAACCTAGATTAGTCTAGGAAGAACTAATCTTACAGTAATGATCTCTAATTGAATATGGGTAGATTGTGTTATAAATGTAGGAAACCTTAACTTGTAGATGTGTAAGTCACACAAGGTCTATAAGATTAGTTCTTTAGGGACTAATCTAAGTTTTTACTAAGGCGACGCTTAGGGTACTCTCTTGCTAAGAACTGGCTCTGCATGATTTGAAGAACTCCCCCATGAAGTTGGAGTCAAGGACCTCACAGTGGTGAGGGGGTGAAACCATATGTGCTAGCATAGGGCTAACCTCAGCACGCAAACCACAGAGTAGGCGGAAGGGCTGGTGATGGAGAGGGCTAGCACCAGGTCATTTTGACCTGGACCACTCCTATCACACCAACCTGAAAACCACCCTAAGAGGAAGAGACAGCAGCCAAGGCCAATGTTCTCCTACCAACTGATGGCACAGCACTACAGATGCTGTCTTAGTTGAAGCCACAGCACTGGCATGATGCTGGAGTCGCTGGGACCCATGGCCTTACCCCTTCAGGCAAGGAAGTGAATGATCATACATAATGATTCCACATCAATAGAAATGATATATGCCTATACAACACTATGAGTGAGCTAGAAGCACATACCCAGTGTGATAATGACACCCAACACCAAGTAACAACTGCCACTCCTCTGACTATAACAAGCATACTCCCCTGCAGCATAGACATGACTCCCCCAAAAAATGCCCAATGCTGTGCTAGATTGCTGCCTGGTGCCCCAACGAACCTTGTGCCAACAAGCAAGACCCAGATCTGACCCAGCCTGGAACCTTGAAACCTTGCACTTAGCTGAGGAATATGAACTCAAACTGCCAAAGGAAACCCTAACCATGATGGTGGTATGTGTTATAAAATCAGCAATGGTGTAGAGACGCCTACATCATAACAACAAATGCACCTCATCATACACAGACCTGAAAGCACATAATGTCCCACCACCACAATGCTGCCCAGAGCTTTACAGATGGATCGAACCTAGGACCAGCTGTCTGCAGCTTCCTGGACCATCTTGAAAACTCAGCCTCACCCTTTGTACAAGCCACATCTGCACTCCTCACCTCAATTGAGGAACCTGAGGTAGTATCGATTGCCCAGACATGGCCAACCCCCATGGAGGTGGAGGATGAGTTGATAGAGGACCGCCTGTCGACACCTACCCTAGCGCCATAAAGGAACCACGACATGAATGTGGCAGATACTTGCCACCTGACTGAAGAAGTAATTGAAGTCCCCCTCGGGGACCAACCACACAGAAACAGAGTGCAGGCCTCAATTCTCGAGACCAGCAAGATTGTGACACCCAAATGCCTAGTGAAGAGGATGCACAAACTGGTTAGCCCATCCCCATTCATACTGGGAAGAGGTATCAAGTTCAGGAAGACAAATGTGGGAGCCACGAAAGTAACAAAGTCCAAAGAAGATGCAGCAAAAGATAAGGCTGCTCAAGTGGCGGTGAAGGAGGCAGAGGATAAATTCAACACTGAGTTCGGCTTCCAAATCAAGAAACCCACTATGGGGTTGCTTCGTTTCATTAACCTATGAAGCAAAACCACACTGCTAGGTACATGCCACACCCCTGCATAATGGCGATGGTCTGTGACAAGCTGCAATAGAAAGCAACATTCATCGCTACCAATGCCAACTGTTATGAGGATGTAAGATTAGCTCTTCCTGGACTGATCTGGAATTCTACTAGGGTATCGCCTAGGGGTACTCACTGCTTGAGGACTGGGATAGGACTGATGGATTTGGAATAGAGCTAAGGGCTGATTGGAATATTGAAGAACTGTTATACTAGTTGATTGCGATGGGGATCCTCCTACTGAGAGTCCCCTCCTATTTATACATGAATATCTACCAATGATGTCATGAT